ATCAGAACCATGTGCATTCTGGGTAACACTGACTGGGTGTCCATCGGTGAGCTGGATTTGTTGCCGACATGTTTACAGGCTATGCTATCATTCTGCAGGCTACGTAGCTTTGCAGGAGGAATAGGACGACGGTGTTACACTGCGCATTTCTGTTTTCTTTAGCAGAATTTAAGATATAACACGGGTGCTCTCATTTCAGTCTGTCTATCACAGTTGTGCGTGTGTTAGGGTGCAGTGCATCACAGGCTTTGATGTAACACCGCGCAGACACACACAGACCTCCACACATGTTTACCATACAGATGAGCTCAGAGTGGCAGAAAGGAATGCAGCATGTAATAATAGATCAGCACTCGCCGCCGCAATAAGATGGTTCCAGCTTGAGAAAAACTTTGGAGTGGCTTGATTTTTAAAGCCTTCAAGGTCCCAAGTGACGGCCTCTGTTGGTCGTGTTAGCTTTTTAAGAAGTGAGTCAGACAGCAGATGCTGCCCTTAGTATGGGTTTCAGATAAAGCATCAGTATGATCAAAGGAAGACTGACCTCAAACACCAAAGTAAATTCGTTTTTCCTTTCTAATATTTACACATGGGGTTAGATAACTTTCTCCCTTTTTATATAAATGGAAAATCATAACTCGAGTTTGTGCCCTCTAAATGGTGCATGAACATGAAAAATTGCAAGTGGTGAGCAAGCTTTCCTGTCACTCATTCTGTTACTTTGCAAATACTTTACTCTGCTTTGTTCTGTTTGGTTTCCTGAAGTTTAAACACTGATAGCTATTTTGGTTTTGAGACACAGTTTCATTGTCCTGTGTGACACTGCAGTTTAGTATCTGTATAAATGGACAAGTTCATATACTCCGATGTGATCCGGGCACATAAACAACTGGTTACAGCTGGCTATTCTTGCAGCCATCACTGTATATTTCTCATGCATTTACTAAGTCAGTGACTTCTGTGCACAAGGCGCCTCAGCACTCGGTGACCCTGCTCTATAACTTTATGTTGTGTGCCACTTTGCAGCTGAGTTGCGGTGGTTCTTAAATGATTTGACTTTGCTATTGATCGTGACACATCTAGTAGGGAAAAAGACAAATTTATAAACTGTTGTTGCAACAATGCCATCCTGTTACCACACTTGTGCATACAGTGTAGATTCCTGGTTTGAACCCACCAGCTGATTGAGGCCCTTCTATGTGGAGTTTGCCTTTTCTTCCCATGTTTGTGTGGGTAGTTTCTAACCTACCCTCTCAGTCCACAGACTTGCATGTTGTGTTTACTGGTGATTCTAAATTGGCTATAGGTGTCGCTGTGAGCATGCATGGCTGTCTGTCTCACTGTGTTAGCCCTGGATGGACTAGAGACAAGTTCAAGGTGTAACTTGCTTTTTGCCTAATGACGACTGGAAAAGGCCATGAGTCCATATGAGTCTGAATTGGATAAGCTGCTAGGAACTGGATGGACGGCTGGTCTAAACTGAAGTTGAAAAATCAACAGTTGGAGTTTTGTAGTTATTAAAGCACAGGTGTCGAACTCCAGGCCTTGAGGGCCGGTGTCCTGCAGGTTTTAGATGCATCCTTGATCCAACACAGCTGATTTAAATGGCTAAATTACCTCCTCAACATGTCTTGAAGTTCTCCAGGGGGCTGGTAATGAACTAATCATTTGATTCAGGTGTGTTGACCCAGGGTGAGCTCTAAAACCTGCAGGACACCGACCCTTGAGGCCTGGAGTTCGACACCCCTATATTAAAGTGTCCAGCATTTGGAAGGCAGTTTTGGAGGATATTTCTGTAGGTTGGGAAAACAGCAGCTACATGTGGCCAAAACTGAAGGGGGGAAAAAATGTATTTTTGTATTTATTGTGACGATAGGCCTCCGTGACTTTGTTTTCACTGTTTAATTTCTAGAACTAAAAAGTCAATTTGCAAAGCACGTCCTAGTTTTAGGCAGCGCCCGACCTATTATCTTGTCTGACAGGTGGTTGCCTTATAACATTCATTTCCATTTTGGCGCTACAGTGTTAGTGGCCAATACTTGACTTCGAAATGAATGATTTAATGAGTTTCTGTGTGCAGTCACGAGTGTAATTGTGTTAAATGATCCAGTACAGTCCTTTGTGTCAATGCCACGGTAGCTTTGTTTTAATCCGCACACCCTTTGGAGATGGGAAAAATTGCAAGGTTTGCTCATTCATCAGAAAGCCCGGTGTACTTTACTCAAGTCAAATTTAAAAGCAAACCTTTTCTTAGTGCTCACCGGTGTCCTGCTAGCTCGTTTAATGGCCTGATGTTCTCGATTGCAGACTGTCCACGATAATGTTGTTTCTGGTTCACAAGACTTTAACAACTGTGATAAACATTGATTTAAATTTAGCATCTCTGTGTTCCAGCTGTTTCAAAGTGGTTTATTTGCTTATGAGTGCCAGAAGGAAGTCGATGCTATGTGAGAATGCAAAAATAATCAGTTCTAGACTCAATGTAAATGTTTAATTTATCAGGATGGTGAGCACATCTTGTGTTGATGAATGAAGTGGAGCTTTTTCTAATTGATTACTGCATCATGGGCATGTGTCCATATGCAAACAGACAGGCAGACAGCTCTCACCCATCTTTGGCTGGAAGCTGTCTAAATGAGTCAGCAGCTGATTGGCCATTAATTGAACTATTGATGGATTTCGGTTAAGACTCTGGCTCTTAGGGATCTTTTATCTTCCCTGCCAAAGTATTTGTTCCCGTATGATTGTATCATCAAATACTTATCGCAACGTTTTGTATGCTTTACTTCTGTATTAACGACTGCATTAACTAAGTAGGAGGTTGGCTGATTCAAACACTGACCAAGCATTAATTTCAGCATTGTGGCTCCTTGACGTCTGGGTTGTGTTGCTCTGTGGTTCAAAGGATGTGTCCTATTTATTTTTTAAAAAGATCCATGAGGAAACTTTTTCTGATGAGCTTATTAGTTGGTCACTGACCATGGCATAGGAGATGATTAAATTCCCTCCCTTATAAAGCTGAACAGCCATCAATGAATCACAATTTCAGACACTGATATATAAACATAGACAGTACGATCGAAACAAATCAGGTAGTTCAATAGTGATCCAGCAGTGCAGTATGACAAAGCCTTTTCAACAGGAACTGATACACGTTAAACTATGACTAATGAAAATGAAACTGATTCACTGTGACTTTCATGAAGATGAGGCCAAAGTGGGATTCAGGTCTGACGTACATTTAATACTGGGCAGAATTACATAATCCACAAGTTTCACTTTGATTCCTAACAGGCTGTGCTTATGCTTTCTCTTCACTACAGCCATCTAGGGTACTGACCAGTAGTTTTAACAAACACAGAAGCCTAACCAGTTAGCTAAAAGTAGTGAATACATGGTTAGCTAACACTAGCAAATAGCAACTCAAAAGTAACAGAAAAAATATGTAAATAAATATAGGAAAATTCTCAGTGTAGCTGAGATTCATTCATACGATGTAGATGTTATTTCACACAAGCACAAGAATACTCCTCAAAGGAAAGCAATGGTTTGCTATGATGTGTTTAGGTAAAAGCTATCTGGGTTTAGATCTCTGTTCACAGTTTCTACTCAGTGATAATGTCAGTAACTGCACCTTACAGCTCATGAAAAGGATTTCTCTACTGAGTAATCAGAAAATAATGAGAAAAATCCAGGGATAGTGCTTGAAAGGAAAAGGAAATGTATGAAGTTTTGCTATTGAAATTGAATTTTTCAAATTCTTTTATTAGAAAAAGCAGAAAAACGGATAAAACACTTTTTTAAAATGTCAAATGGTATGGTCATTTGACCTGATATAAAAAAAAAAAGGCATAAAAACCTTGAATTCAGTTCCATAAATGTAGTCGTCTTTTTCTGAATGACCCAGGATGATTAAATCTTTAACCCAATCAGGCTGGTTTGGTTTTTGTATAATGGCTCAGACTACAAATGACTTGTGAGGCATTACAAGTTGTCATCTTAGTGTTTTCTACCTTTAGAATTAGGGATCACTCCACACTTCTCTCCAGTGGTGTTGGCTTTAAATCACCTCATTAATCTGCTTCCTTTGCTGAAGATGTCCGACCAGGCTGCGCCCATTAGGTAAAATCCATTATACACGGCTGTGGTGAGACAGAACACACAGAGGAAACAATTTGTGTGCGACTGTCTTCATGCAAGTGTGTGTGTGTGCACTCCCAGTTGCCCTGTTGAGAACGTAAATTTAAATGAGGGCCACGCTGACAACCGTGATTTCTCAGAAAAGACCTTAGAGGGTCATTTGCCTGCATGTACAGCTTGTTTATGTGACGCCTGGTGTTGTCCCTCTGCCTTCTTAAGTGGATTTTCACTGATGAGCACCAATGAGAATGCATGTATCTGTGTTTGTGTGTGTGCGCGTGCATGCACGGGTCTGCGCTGTAGCCTCGGTATGACGTGAATCATCTTCCATTCATCCTCGAGTTATTTTCAGCCTTAATGAAACACCTGAGACCAGTCGACAACTTCATATCTTTACAAACATTCATAAAACCCATAACTAAGGGATAATAAGCTATGGTGGGCCTATCAGTTGCACTCCTATGCACACATACTATCATGTAATTGCTCGCATTGCTGATCATTTGTCCCATTTACCTATCGATACATTTTAGACATTTTATGCTTGCATGCCCAGTTTTAAGCCAAATTGTGCACCTTCATAACTGATATTTTTCACGTATTTTAACATTTAAGAGTGTGTAGTTTTCAAAATAAGAGCCAATTTAACCGGTAAATACATGCGATTACTGCAGAAATAACTGTTGAATGTAATCATTTAGCTAGTTTAGCTCTATTACAAGATCTCAGAAAGCTAAAACATCAGTATATGAGTACCAGCCTCACATATGTGTTTCTGTGGCTTCTTCTCATTCATTCAGTTTGTAGCTCCTAATATATTTATATTTATATATATATATTTTTTAAAATTTGTGTCTTTTCAGAGATCAGGGCCCAGTTAGTGGAGCAGCAGAAATGTCTGGACCAGCAGACAGAAATGCGGGTCCAGCTGCTGCAGGACCTCCAGGATTTCTTCAGGAAGAAGGCGGAGATTGAGATGGAGTACTCCAGAAACCTTGAGAAGCTGGCCGAACGCTTCATGGCAAAGACTCGCAGCACTAAAGATCACCAGCAATACAAGTGAGAGGAAACTGTCTCGATGTTTGTCTGTCGTCAATGTGTTTCTTATGTAACACGGGTCCAATAATAACCTTTAACTGTTGCTCTGTAATTCTAAGCTTTTCTAGATTTTGCCTCACAAATATGGATGTAACAAATCTCTAAATTAATCAGATCAGGCATTGGCTAGTTCACCAACCAGGCAGTTTTTCTATTGGTGTTACCTGACCTCATTCTCTGTTTACGTCCTAGAAATGGTCATACAAAAAAGGTCCAAAATCATCAGGTTCCTACAATGTGTGTGCGGCCAAATTTGTTCTTATCACTGTGCATTGTTGGTGAATCAGAATTACTCTAAATATACAGGCCCAGTTTAGTGGTGAGGTTGTTTTAACAAAGAAATCTGCCTTGTTAAAGCAAGACGAGGTCTAACTAAAGAAAAACAGGATAGTGTCAGAGGAGGAATTTGAAAAGGTACATTTTCCAGTGTGTTTCATGACAATTTGTACTGTTTGAATGTGTAGAACCATGTAGTGTTTTATATTAATATATTGAGAATATTACATCATTGTAGCAGAGGAGCTTCTTGAATAATCCATCTTGACTTTTCATTTTGCATTTCTGTGTGTGCCACAATAGACACAAGCTTAAGTAATGAGGACAAAGTGCTGTGAATGTCATCATTAGGACATATTAGACGTTATCTAGTGGATGGGGTATTATTTTGATACAGTTGCTAAATATATTCTAAAATTGGCAAAGCTGTTATAAAACGGATTAGAGTTAAGATCTTTGACAGTTTCTGTACTTTATATTTTGGATATTTGGATATATTTAGTTCTCAAGGAGTATTTTTGTTTGGTATCTACCCTTAAACAAAAATACCAAAGTGTAGTGAGAAGAAAAACTGTTTGCTTTCATTCTGTTTGTCTTCTTTCTCGCCCTGTCCTCCTCCCTCTTCTTCCGCTGTATTTATTGTGCATCGGTTTGTCTCGGAGGCTTTTTGATCGATTTTGACACAGTTAAGTATAGTGTGCTTTTTGGCCTTATTAGTAGGAGGTGGCTCATGGAAAAAGCAGACATTAGCATATCGTTTGAACTTGTGGTGGAGCAAAAATAAAATGTATGTTTGTCCTCGCTGTCTGCAAATAGCCCCTGCTCTCTGTCTGAAGTTCCAATGGCTCTAGCAGCTGTGCGTGCCCATGTGTGTAACCAGTGAGAAGACTCTGGTATGGCGCTCTGTGGTTTTCATTGTATGATGTACAGTCTGGTCACTTCATTCACAGGGTAAACATTTGGCATCTGCCTAGGAGCATATTTCTTAAGTAAATATAAGACGTTTGAATAACATTAAGAATTCTCCTGCGGGTGTTAAATCATGTGGCCCATATTTTTGTGTTCACATAAGCACGTACAATAAGGCTTTAGTATTCTCCAGGCTGTTTTCATTGGACAAATTTGTCTGTGGTGTGAAAAATTGTTTTTATTCTGTCTGTAGCATGATGTCCATTTTTATTAGCGATGCACTGGTTCTATTAGCAAAAGCTAAGGCGTTGAGATAATGTTTGCAAATACTAGATAATAACGTAATATTTGTTTTAAGGGTCTAGGAGTTCATTGGTCCCATATCAGACAACACCAAGCTCGGCTTAAATACTATTTATTCAACTTTGTAGCAAATACATGCGTCAGAGAATATTAGTTTACTGAAATACGTATTTACATCATTTACCTAAATTATTTAAGTTGAGTGTGAGAGTTAGTTGGTTCCTGCATGCTGGTTTTAAAGTTTTGCTACTTTTCTATATCCTGCTCTTACTGTGAGTGTAGATTTGACCACAGTGCAATTAGTTAAAAAATATTGAAGGCATAAAAAGAAAAGCTGTTGTGTTGAGTGCGAAATGCTTTCAAACTGTTGACCCTTTGCAGTTTGCTTCCTCTGTGCTGTTAGCTCTCCTGCTAGCAATTGATACACTGCTGCTGCCAGCTAGCACAGTAAGCAGAGAACAACTGAAGTGACCTGATGGCCCCATAAATCTGACCTTTGTCACTGATACACGATCCAGCTCTTTGAGTCAGGAGTGGACAGAGATTGTTTCCAAATATTAGGTACGTCACTAGTTTTGAAATTAACTTGGGGAAAAAATTGGTAAAGCAGCGAGTTAAGGTCTTAGTTAAACAGTATTAGAAGCTGATCAGTGACCCTTCTGATAGTTGGTGAGTGGTTGCTAGCGTGAAATTGGTCGCAGAGAGGTATATGGTGCTGCACCAAAAACCTCCATGTGATTGTGAAGTGAAGACACTTGCAAACTACTTGCCAAGTCCTAGTGAAACTCTGAAAAATGCAGCACAAACCAGAAATGATGAAAGTTCACTTTCAAGGCACAACATTTACAACAGTATATGCTTTACTTTTCAGTTGCACGACAGCACACAACATAAATGTCAAATGCTGACGGACAAATCGACATATTTCATGCAAATTACAGGTGACTGTGGCAGCCTGCTAGTGATCAAAACAATCACAACACCTTCGTTATGACCATTGTCACCTTGCAACAGCCAGCAGCCACTCACCAACCAGTTGGGAAATGCAGATTTCCCTAGTAATTGAGAAAGCCAGATGATCTCTGACTGAGGCTTAAGGAAGGCTATGGAATCATCCACAATGGCAGATCAGTTCATCTACATACTTCAGATCCAGCTTTCTGTGTATGGACATGGTCGGGCAGGGAGCCATATTGCTAAATTTAAACTTCTGCCTATTTTGACTGTATTGCTCCTGGTTGAAGTATTGTCCTTTAATCAGCAGCTAAATCTAAGAACTGGTCAAGACCAGCTGTATTCACAAAGTGTTGGCAATGAAGCAGTGTTGAGTCTGGTTTGCGTAGCAGATTTTGAGATAAGCGTTCAAGATGTCATTCTTTTTAGTTAAAAATGCATTAATATGCAGCATTTTTGACATATTCAGTTTCTTTGGAAAGTTCCCTTGTAGGCAGCTTCAAGCTTCATCCCATGGGTATTTGTTTTAGTTGCCTCTAGGAAATGGGGCAAAACACAGGTGGTGGTTGATGCTATGCTTCTGTGATCCCATACCCCCTTCGTATAAACCATGTTTCTGTGAAGCTATAAAGACACGATGCCACAATTTCCTTCCACCAGTCTGCAAACATTGCCATGTGTGATTTTGTTTGACAAGACTAAACCTAGTTTTCTGCTGTTGGAAGGCAGCTATGTTGTTCTTGAACCATTTACGTGTTACCATAAAGTTCTCGAGCTATTCCAAGCTACGAAAAAGTTTTGACACAGTAGGAGTTCAGTCTTTCTCGGGGGTGAAATGAAGTTTGTGCACGTCTGAAAGCACAGACTTTGTGCGACCTGTGGGAGTATTGTGGTTGCTCGCTGCTGGAGAGGAATGCTTCTTGCTTCGGGGGTGCCCTGTACTGAGCTGAGCTATACCTGTGGAGTCTAGGGAGACTGCAGTAGAGGTCTGCTGAACTCTAAAGTAGAGTAAAGACTGTAGCCACATTTGAAAATGGCCTAACGCAACAAAAGTGTAATTTTTAAAGTAATGGTGCTCGTTTCTGCTTCTCAACATACTTCAGCATAACAAAAGAGATAACAATAATAATAAATATGTGCATACAGCGTCTTACAGGCATCATTACTTTTGATCATTATGTACTTTAGTATTTTTCTAAGCTACTGCCTGTTCTGAGACTCTTGTTGTCCAAGAGAACTTTTGTTTTACGGTTAACTATGAAGAGATCATTGTGTAGTTCTGTTTTTAGGTTTTGTTCTTCAGCCTTCATTATAGAAGTAAACGCAGTGCGCAGCATTGGAAAAAATTGTCCCAATTAAACGTAACAATTAGCAGCTATAAAGTCAAATTAGGACACTTTAGAGAACACATGCTGTTAAACTTGTTGTTTTATGTTGGTCTAGCAAAAGTGTAATAGATCCGAAAACTTTCAGAGCTTTAAGTGTCCCGGATGTTTGGCAATGCTGCAGTAAAGCAGACAGCAGCAACGTCTGAGTGCAGCACATCAGTTTTGAAAATGAACGGGCATTAGGACACTTCAGAGCCACCAGTTTAGTTTTGGGTTTTTTTGTGGGGGGGATCTTCTTGAAAGAAAACAAAATTACAGTGCTGTCCACTGCAGCACTCTGTGGGAGAGCCATCCATTTGTGTTTCAGCGGCTGTTTGCAGAACACACACAAATGAACAAATATGGGCAAACACTCTCTTCTCTCTCTCCCCCAGTCTTTCTTAAACACACACATGCAAACAACCAGATACTGTATTATGCAAGGTTTGTTCAGGGAGGGGATGTGGAATGGGAGAGCAAAAGAATAACTGAAATATTTATGTAGCATCAGCCACAACTGGGATTGTCTTAAATATGCTGCTTTTATCTGAAATTAAGCCGCTGGTTAGAGGACTTCCTCACTTTGTCTCAGAGGATTAGCGGGAGGTGTGGAAAACATCGTGGCTGCTTAGTCTGTGTAATGCCACACATAACTACCTGCTGTCTAGGGAAAACTGCTGACGCATTCTCATTTGATTAAGTTCAACTTTGTTGGGATTCTTTCACAGGACCAGTGATGAAGAAAATGGTGCATTTCCTGTGGTCATTATGAGCCTTTGGCATTCTGTTGCTTCCTTTTAAAATGTAAATGTGTACTCAAATAAGCAGAAAGACTGCACCGCGAGTCACCTTCGTTGGTGCTGGAGATTTGTGCACTTTAAAGTGAAACGTTTTGGGGGTTTTGTTGTTTTGTTTTTTTTAAATCAGTGTGGCACTAGACAACTTTGCTATTTTGCCATTTCTATTGATAAGACCTTCTGTTTAAATACTGTACACACTGAATTGGTATCCTTCATTTTTAGTGTCATCCTGCTGTATGAGAGTGCAAGTATGGTGACATTGTTCCTCTGTCCCCCCCCACCCCTCTTCTACACACGAGTTCCTCTTTTCATACCTGTGTTTGGCTCTTGTGGGGAGTCTTGTCTATCTGTCACTGTTCTGTCTGACCCAGTTCCTGCCCTGGCTGAGGGGGAAATGATGACAGTGAGAGACTTTCCTGCCATTATATGTGGGGTTAGCAACTCCCAGGGGGTTATGTCGTCACAGCCTGTGTGGGTTTCCCACTTGTTTTTTGCCTGTCCTCTATATACTTTGTGAAGGGGCTGACCCTACTAAATCAAACTTTCTTTCTTTTCTTTTTTTAAACAAATTGATTTAATTTGATAACATGTGCTACACTGTTACTTATGCTACGTTATTCTTTAAATGTTTCAGATTTAATCAAATTTCATGTGAAAGGTGGATGCCGTTTTTGTTGGATGCCCTGGATGTTATTAGCCATGTGCACATAGGTTACAGGTTACTTCTGGTGTTAAATTAGGTTAAACTTAGTAATGCTGTCCTACTTCAGACAGTACAGTGGGGTTTTTTCCAGTCTGAGGAGTCAATTTACCAGTATTAAATTGTTTAGTGGCTTGTGGCGTTTTATGTCCAGCTTCTTGTCAGTGACCTACAGAACATGATTCATCTGGACCTGAGAACATGAGTGAATTAATAAACACAAACTCGTACTGTTCCCACAAGTCTGTGATTGAGTGCTGTAGAATGGATCTGATACATAATGCAGAAAGGATTTCTATAGTAATTGCTCTTTGACAGATGGTGAGTGATGCCGTCAAGCACAGTTACTGCTTGAGTGAGTGTGAGAATCTATATTTTTCTCCGTGTGTAAAAGTTATTTATACACACAAATGTGGTTAAAACATGTATTTGTGCTAAATGGCTCATTTTACCATGACCTCACATGGTGCTGTGAGGGAAGGTACAGTGAACTAACTTGCAATGAAGGGCACATTCACAGGGCTGACGTCAGGGACAGCTGAGGAAAGCAAATCAGGGAACTAATGTATTAAAATGATATGCCGCTGCTTTGTGATGCCACCATTATCACAGGCAATGTATTGCAATACTATTGTCTTAAAATGTAGTTATTTTCTGATTCCCAACCATACTGGACATGTTATCATGTTCGTCTGGTTTCTTTGAAAAACGAATCCCCTTGGATGTTTTTCATGTCTGCGTAGTTGTCTTCCTGTTTTTGCTCAACCTCAGGAAACATTTCAGCTGTTTGGAATGTTTGCATCAGTTGTTCATTTTCTTCATTTTTGCTCACCAAGCAGATGTGGTGCCAATGTTGAAGGCTAGGTCAGGGCTGGGCAGCTTTGCCAAGTGTAAAGTTTCACCTGTTGCGTTGACAAATGTTGTCCGTCTTTGCAAACTTGGAGAGGTGCAGAGGCGAGTCTCCATATGGTTCCTGAAAGACTTGACCCAAGACCCAGCTTTCAGTTCTCTCCCAAGCACACACACGCATGTGCACAAGCATGCACACTTATATTCTGTGTCACTTTTTTGCAGGCAGCAGGAATGTTATAGATTAACCCAGAGGAAGTCCGCTTGCGGGCCACTGCTTACACAGGGCCCCAGCTCACTCTGGTCTGGACAATGTCCTACAGTTAGCCTGGCTGCAGGCGGCACACAGCGCAGGAAACGCCTCTCTGACTTCTGTGTTTTTATTTGAATTCTTTTCTATTATTATCCACTATTGTGCAGCTTCTCTTCTTTTCCTTGTCTTTCTTGTTCTTTTTGCAGTTTTACTCTACTCTTCAAGTTCACCTACAACATATACATGGCTTCTTTAACACCAGTCTACACTGTGTATTTATAGTCTTAGGGACACTCTTCCCTGGTTTTAGAAAATCATTTTTGCTCAGAGCATTGTAGCTCTGCCCTAGAAATGTCACTGATATTTCCAAGTTAGCTGTGTAGTCCTTGTAATATTTGGAGAATCTTTTTGGCCCAGAGCCTGTGGTGCATGGGACATTTAACACCCTGGGACGCCTATGATGAATCTGTCTTCTGCTTTAGTGACGAGCACTGGTGCTCTTGAGGTTTTTGTAAACATCCTGCTTGTCACGATCTCCTGCATTTAGAAAAAAAGAGGAAATGCTGTCTAAACCAGCCAACAGTTGCCAATAGGAAAATAATGCATACAGATATTTTGTACAGGCCTGCAAGGTTATTTTGATAATAGTATTGAAGTATGAAATTGTTTTGGGGGCAAATAGATCTTTCTAAACAAAGAATGTCTCATTTAGCTCCTGAATTTTCACAGCAGCACAACAGCTTGGCTTGGAAGTAATGGGTGGTTAACAGTGTAGTCTGAATGAGCCACATTTCAGTCATTCTTTTGTCTGGCAAAAAAAGATAAGTGCTTTAATGGGAATTTGTTGCATTAAATACAACAAAAAAACCCAAAAGACCTTAGGTTGCACTAATTATTCTAAAACGATATAAATAGTAAATCCTCTTTAACTCTGTAAAATGAATAAAGTGAATTTTACTCCATGATATGTTCAGTCTGGCACAAAAGTTAACCAAGGAATACCTCCGTTATAACCATTACTTTATAATTTTTCATTTTCATTCCCTAATTTATCTGAACTCTTATTTCCATTGGTTTACTCAGGAAAGACCAGAATCTGCTGTCACCAGTCAACTGTTGGTACCTGCTGCTGAACCAGGTTAGGAGGGAGAGTAAGGACCACGCAACACTGAGTGACATCTACCTCAACAATGTCATCATGAGGTTCATGCAGATCAGCGAGGACTCTACACGGCTACTCAAGAAGGTGAGGGCAGAAAGGGCAAAGTAGTTTTTAGAGTTGAGGCGGTGCACACACACACACACACACACACACTAGCGTTTTCAGTTGTTTTCACAAAGTTGTGCGTCCACATTGAAACAGCACAAAACGCTTCCAGTCCTGCGCATGCGTGAAAGCGAGTGAGAATTAAAGAATTTGGAGAAGCTGTCTGGAGCATGTACAAACTGATATTAATCTTTTTTAGGGCTGTCAAAATTGAGAGCAATCAAAGCAACTGCTGTATTATGCACTCCGCTATTGTTGTTTGGTCACATGACTGCATCACATGACTAAAATGCGTCATCGTTTTAGAAAGTCTGCGTTTTCGAGTGTCCACACTGCGACGGGGCAGCTCCGTTTTGAAATGTATGCGTTTTCGAGAGCGTTTTCAAAACGCTGCGTTTTTCCTTGAGGAAAACGGCGTCTCCGTGTGGACGGAGGCCAAAACGGAGAGAAAACGATGCATTTTCAAACGGAAACACATTAGTGTGGACGTAGCCTAAAAATGACTTTTGAGTCTTTTTATTTGTGCTATAAGAATTGCAGCAGGTATTTTTCATTTAGTTTTCATTCATTTCCTTTATGGTTTAAAGGGAAAAACTTGTTGTTTTTTTAAAACAAAGAAAATCAGCACGATTTCTTTTCGCAAATTTGCAGGAATTCATGGCACTTTTCAGCCTTGTTTATCGTACAGCTGTATAACAAAACACTCATGTACTTGATATATAACACAAATTACCTTTTATAAGTTAATAAATTTGTATTTTTCTCTGCATCACCGTTTCCTTGTCTATTTAAATTCTCATAGTCTCATTTTGACTGCTTTTGAAGGTTTTTTTTGTTCATCATACTGATGTTTGACCTCTGCTAGAAATGGGTCACATGTGCCTTTTTCTTTGATCAGCAAAACACTTAAAGTCACCACTAACATGATCCAGATTCTTCGTAGCGGTCACATTGGGCAGCAGTGTCTCCAGGCCCTCATGTTATATAAACAATCTTTCACTTTTAATGCATCCATTCATTCAAAAACAGTGTATATTTAGTCGCATGATATGCAGGATATATATTCAGCATTGCGTTTGATGGTATGATGGTCTGTGGCGCTCCCGTGGTTTCGTTTTGTGAATTAAGAGTAGTGCGCTGGGAGCTCGGTCACCAGTCTTTAAGATTCAGAACGTCTTCGGTCTCTCATGGTTTTATGACCAAAACCAATCTGCTGCATTTTCTACCACAAAGCTGACGACTCCCTAACAGATTATGAGCTCCTATGTTGCAGGAGTCACATGAACTCACCGCAAACCTAAATTACAAAGTGTCTTTTCTTCAGAGGAGCGCCTTTGTGTCATTTTAGCTTGCACAACCTTTTTATCCTTTCTCTTTTTATGCTCCACTTTCTTGCAAACCTCCAAGATCTTATCTGTTTAAAAAGAAGGAAACATTTTTGTTTTTTAAATTTGGTCTTCAAAGCAGTATAATTTCTTGGTTTGCCTTGAACCCCCAGCAGACTCACAGGAAGCTTCAACACTCATTTCCCTTTAAAGGGTTCTGGTTCTACTAACGAGGCCAGATGTGAAACAGACAGTATTTTCTCAAAGTTTCGTCTTGTTGCGAATACTGGGGGAAAAGAGCCGCTATAATTTTAAAACAAGAATAATCATGAAAACTATTTGTATATAAATATGACTTTAATCCATTTCAATGTGCTGGCAACTCCTTTGTTTTATTTATTACAAATAAGAGCATATGAAATGTGTGATTTCCGTTTCTCAGCATCACTGCAGAGCTTCTCAACATCAGAGATGTAAGAAGTCACTTTAATATTCATGCAGGACTGCAGGGTGTAATCAGTCAGGAAACAGTGATGTTTGGACTTCATGTAGTTGATGTCTGAGAAAACCTGCTCGCATGTGGATCCAAAGATGACAGATACGGAGATACATTTGTCTCAAAAGGGTTGCAAATGCACACAATATGATCCACAACTGTAAGCTAAGCTTTGCAAATGTCTACAATGAACTTTTGAGGACTCACACGCACGTGCTTCAATCCACACACAAAACAAAAAACCACCATGTGAAACTATTTTACAGATGCAAACATCCAAACCTGAATAAATACTAATCATTTACGCACAATTTATAAAGTTCAGCTTCACAAAGGCAATCGTTTTCACTTTCAAAAAACCTTCTGTGTATACAGAGTCTAAACCTACACGTAACATCTCTCAACCCTCTCTTAAACACATGTGGGCGAGCGCCTGGTACGCACAGATCCCGTCACACAGGGAAGGTTGTGCCTGTAACATTTAACATTTTCTTATTTTAGCCACAGCCGAGGAGCAAAAGAGCCGCGAGTCACCGACCTCTGTCCTGGCTTAACTTACTGTCACAATCATAATGATAGACTACTTTCAATAATGATACATATTTTTAATGCAGCTCAGAAACTCCTCACAAACTGTGGAGTAGTGCAGTCCTGTCATTACTCCACCTGCATCCCCATTACTGCTGTGGAATCTGCAGTATCAAGCCACTTTATAGACTGTCCTTTTAAAGTTGGCATTTACTTTGTGTATCCAGGTGACATTGCGCAGACAAGAAGCAGTCTGATGGGAGGTCCCAGCTCATTGGAGACCCGAGACACAGCTCGCACTCTAATTAAAGCTTCCCCGAGCCTTTGATCTCAGCAGAGCTTCAATAACGAGGCACAAACAACAGAGAAGTCCCCCATGTTACGTGGACTCCCTCACAGCTTTGAGGAGACAGCTGTACTCTTGTCATCCTTCCACCACATCAAAGACCCGTGTTTATATTTCCTTGTATGTTCAGGTTTCATGCTGCGAGGTGCAGCAGCGGAGGAGGGACCCCATAGTGGCCATATTGTCTTCGTCAACATCCTCCGGTTGCTGTTCGGCGTGTGCATTTATTTCTTTAGTTCTGCACTGTGGTCACTTAAAAAGAAACCACGGCTTTCTTTAGAAGCACCACATTTTTTCCTCTGTGTGTTTAAACGCAAGACTCGAGTAGCGAGCTTTTTCTGTCTTTATGCTTGGAAAGATCTTCTCACATGCATCAAGTTTTCATTATTCATACAACTGGCTCTTTGTTTTGCTCTGCCCTGTTTTATTCATGAAAGTGATATTCTGTGGCAGCAGCTACATGGTGGATTTCCTAGAGCTCGAGGCACTTTTGAACTTAAAGCAACACATAAGTTTACAAAAAGGTGTAAATATTGAAATAATTCAAGCTGAATCTATTTAACTGATTTGGTGTAATAACAAAAAGTGTAATATCCCAAAATCCACTACCAGCACCTCCAATATGGTGCTTTGCAAATGTATTAGTCCACCACTCAATGTTAATTCAGGGCAGCTGTGGAGTAAACCTAACAGTAGCGATAATTACCAAATTTTTATGTTTCTGTAATAGTTAATCTACCAGTGTGTGCAAATGCTCTAATCAAAATAATATTTTTAATGCTAAAATAAAATTATTGATGTTGTCATTGAATTTTTAAAGTTACACTTTTACAAAAAGCAGAAAAAATTAGTAAAAGATGCCAAATTAAAGCTATTTATGTTCAATAATTTCATTCCTGAGCAGAAAAATTAGTGTTGGTGGTTGAATGTTTTGCATCATTGAATTTGCAACTTCTCAGAGACGTCCGCTGTGACAAACCATCCTACTTTGGCAAATCGTCCACCTTAGGTATTTCATGCACATTTCTGCCGTCACACAAGAATTCCAGCAGAAATGTAAGTATGTAGGACGGTTTGCCACTTAACTTTACCCATCAGAGTATGCTTCTAGCTTATATTCACAAAGATATGATGGTTTGACACTTAATTTTGTGTTGTGCGCATGCAAAGCAGAAACAACCGCTAGGATGGTTTGGGAGGTAAGATGGATTCCCAGAACACCGGCTCAAAAAACATGAATTTAGTTTCTTATTTGCATAATAAATAACAATGCAACTTTTAGTTTTAAACCATTTTTAACAGATTATTATATACAGAGTATTTGTTTTGTTTTTTTAAAATCACAAGTGAAACAGCTGGACTAACCAATAATTAGGCTGACATTTTATGAAGGGTTCAATATTTGTGTCATCTGGTCAAATTCCAAGTTACAGTCGGGAGACACTCTAATGTACACACCTGCCCTGCAGCGTATACAGCTGCCATCTCTATACTGTGATTAATGGCAGTGGCAATATGAAACCCACCACTCCCTAAGTGCTGCCATGGTTTCTTCTCACTGGGTTTGTTTCATCTTTCTAATGTGGTTGGAATACAGATGGTATGAAGTTGAAAGGGAAAACCCATTTGTAGGATCCTTTTAATGAATTGGACTGAATTGGAAACCCCCCAGCTGAGATTCCTTTAAGCAGGAAGGAAAAAACGTTGTGCAAATTAAATCAGCGACATGTGTTACACAACACAGCTTCGCTAAACAACCGTTTCCAAAATTCAAAACCTCATGCTACGTGTAGCTTTTCCTGGTAAAAGGCAGTCGTGATTGTAAATGTAATTTACTATCATCTCCCTCTTTATTTCTCTCACATCCAACACACACACGTGTACACACATTCTTTCTCGCACATCTTGTGATCTCTGAGAAGGCTTTTCATTGAGCTCTGGATCACTTCCCAGCCTCCTCAATGGGAAAGAACTGATGTGTGTTAGATCTGACAGATAGTCAAAGGTCCTGTCCATGGAACTGATGCTTGCTAATGGATTTTCCCACAGGGGAAGGTCTGTGTCTTTACAATCGTGTGAATTTACATTTAAGAGGCAGTTTACTGAGTATTGATAAACCCAAGGTCCAGGTGATCATATAGTTCACCAAAAAAACGTAAGACTGCTTAGTAACTTCCTTATCTACACTCACCTGTCAAACATGCCTGAGGTTTCCTCTTGCTGAGTTTGTTTCTCCTGGGTTCTGGTTATCTGATTATGTCTCGATTAGCTAAAAAGCTCCAAGTCGGGGAAATGACAGACCAGGTGGTGGTTAGGTAGGTGTTGCAGATCAGTCAGGTCACCTAGCGTGACTCTATAATTTCAGACACCAGCCTAGCAGCCAGTGACTGAGAGCGTAATCCTCTTTTCTGTCTGTTAAAATACTTGGATACTGTACAGCTTTACCTGTAAGCAACATGAAGAACAAGAGTGACAGACTGTGGAAATCTGCGTAGAAGTACTCGCAGTCTTGCTGCGGTTCAGGTCGGTTGCATATGCACGGTTCAGTTATAGCCAAAAACTTGTGGTGTTTTGTGCAAGCGTGATCATGTCTGAGAACTCACTTGGGTCAGTGATGCATTTAAAAGCATCTTGTGTCACAAGTAATAAACAACTACGACACAATATATTGCACTGTGAAAATAAATGCATCCAGTTAACTTTGCTTCAGTGCTTGCTTCAGCTTATCTCTCTATGAACTGTATCATGTGGCTAAAACTGGCAGACTGACTATTTGCAATTTCTTATTCAGTAAAATATAAAAACGGCTTTAAGACGACTCACAATCTGCAATGCTTTTGGTGGTTTTTTTTGGATATAAATTCATGTTTTCTTCCCAAAAACATTGTGCACATTCAAACAGGTTTAGCTACATAACTAATTTCCTTGGCAACAACTGTTGCCATTGCAACAGTCTGAAGCCAGCATCAGGAATGTGCATCTTGTTGCTCGTGAACTCGCCCCAAATTTACCCTCACTCCTAAAATCATTGTGCTGCCTTTTTCAAAAACTCCCAATAGCCCCCTTTAATATTAAATGCAGTGTTTATTTCAGCATTATGGCTCTTAAAAAGACTACAATGCCCTCTATATCTTTAGAAAATAAATCCCCACTCTCTTACTACAGGAGGTGGCTTGATACCCACTCAGAAAGCTTGTCCATCATATCGCTGTGAGTGGCTCCCACAATGAGTTTTGTCTGAGGATAATTGGGTTTGATATAGGCCTGGTGCACAGGCCAAGGTTGTAATATCATCCAGGTGGCAACACTATAGTGGAGAGATCAAAAATTCATTGTCATGACTCATAATCTCATAAACATCTGATACGCTATATGAGTCAGTGTGAAAGAAATATGGAAGCTTCACTGTTAAATTAATAGTAAAGGCCTCTCTAAATCCATCACACCATCACTGTTAAACTGTATCCCACAACCATGAGATGCATTTCTGTGGGCGTGTGTGTGATAGCATTACTGAGTCAGCCTTGTGGCGCGGCTGATTGAGTTAACATATTTGGAAGAAATCTTTTACATTCAGGCGTAGAGGCCAGATAATGTGTTGAGCATGTGGACGCTGAAACTCTAGCGGTGTTTGATGATTTAAGTGGAAAAGCTAGCATGACACTGGCACCACTTTCACACACAAAAGCCTGTATTTGACACAGTATTATAAATGCACTCATCTGTTTTGTATGTGCACCATTAAGAGTAGAGAATGGTTTCACCTCAGTGGCACTTATATTAAACCTGATATAGAACGAACAGTGTGCATTTGCTGAAAAGATTTGTGAAGCTGCAGTTTAGTAATGGTTGTTCCCACAGTGCTTATACTGTGTTGTCTTTAAAGGGGAACTACCTGGATAGAACATGAATTTCTTGTGTGATAATGGTGATTTCTTTGTATTGCTCTTATTGTTTTTCCTTTTTGTATTTCTTTTACAGAGCAAAGAAATAGCCTTTCAGCTCCAGGAAGACTTAATGAAAGTCCTCAATGAGCTATACACAGTAAGTAGTAACGACTGCTATTTTTCACTAATGCACTTGAATACATTCATCTTGGCTGTGGTTGAGACTAGTTTACAGCATTGAGCTCAATAATTTCTTACTGTCTGTAACAACTTGATGTTTTTAACCCTGAAACTGGAAGATATCTGATGGATTCTAAACATTCAAGCAAATGTATTGCAAACAAAGTACAGGAAAAGTCACATTTCTTTGCACCACAAAAGCATAAAACTGTCCCCTTTACTCTCATAAATCAGCCATTCAAAGCTACAAACTTTCATCTCTGTGTTTGCTTGACTCATTACAGTTCATATTCTGTTTCTAATAGCTTTCATCAGCCAGGTTTTTTTTTTTTTGCTCTTGAAAACGACTCATGCAAAGTCACACTGGGAGGTCTGAGCCAAATAGCAACTTGCTCCCTATCATTCTTTATTTCTTTCAGTAGCTGACATCAGAGACAGACAGAAAACCTGGGAAAAGTCCAGGTTGCATTACACGCAACAAAGTTCTACATTCAAAATGAGAACCATTGTAATTATGCTATATGTGCCCAAGACTACTAGCTTGCAGGTTGCAAGAAACCAAACCATGGCTCTGAACCTGTCAACTCACAGGTTAAAATTTCACCCCAGTGGGTCGGTGAAATTTTACCAAGCTGTCAAACTGGTGCATCACACAGGCTGCACATGTGCAGTGTAGTTCCTAACGCTTTTCATTTGTATTGTTAGCAGCCTCTGTGTACCTTTGACCCTGCTAGTTACTGCCTTAACTATCAGCTCTGCTAGTCCTTGTATTCAATGCCTCACAGAAGCCATGGATATGCAAACTCCAGCAAACCCTTTAAAAGGTAAAATGAAAGGATCAAATATTGTGTAGCCTATGTATAGCGTGAGTAGCGTTTCATAAGTAACAACAAACCTAAGGTTTAAAGCTTATGAAATATAATTCAGTAATACTGTTCATGTGTGTGATTTTGTGTTTTTAGTTGCTTTCCTGACGCATCGTCACCTTGCATGTACGGTGATGTAGCAACAAGTCAAATCAGTTGTTCTTCCCAGAACATTCACTGAAGATCAGTTCAGTTTGCTTATAGAGTCTCCAGTTACTCACCATGAAGGACTGAAGTTGGTTACACTTCCCCTGTGTGTAAAGGGGGCAGACCAGCCCTCGCTCCTCCAAACACAACAACGTGTTACTCTCGAGCTTAATGTGTGTCACTCTCACCACAGTCCACGCTGTAGATTTGGCCTGCTTTAACCCCAGTGGGAGGACACACGTGAGCGCACACGCGCGCGCACACAGGGTAGCTGTTGCATCAGACAGCCGCAGTCCCAGTGTCGGCCACCGCCACTGAAATAACAGGTCTCGTCCGTGTCTAAATGTGTCCCTCTAAAAAAAGCGGTAAAGTAAACACAGCAGTGGCAGACTCCAGACCATTAAGTGAGGAGTACGCGGACCAAGGTCAGTCACCCATCTCTAAACTGGTTCCAGTTAAGCCAACCCCACCAAAGACGAAGGGCTCCAGACAAACCAGGCTTTGCTCTGTTGTTCCACTCGTACAGAAATAACTCACATTGGGGGAAAGATGTTTAGATTTTGAATGGGTGAGTCTCTATTTGTACTGAAGCTGAGGTTTTGTGCAGACAAATGTATTTCATACACAGGTTGTGGAGCTGTAATTTGCCGGAGTCGGTTCATTCCAGGTTAAACCGCTCTGTGCTCTATATTGCTGCCTTGGACGTTTGAATATAATTTTGGTCCTTCTACTTAGTTCAGTAGTTTTGGCCGACCGCCACGAACCATCAGCTCAGATCTCATTTCCTCTCCTCGTCATTTTCACCTGTTTTGTTTCTCTTCCTCCAAATGCTTCCTTAATGTCTTCATTTTCATGGATGTGTGGGGTTGAGTGGCCTATTCTGCTTTCAGACTTCACAATGACATCATGAATTTGTTTCAGTTTTCCTCTTACCATGCCACTGAGTCATCATTATTTTCCTATGAGTCCACTGTCTGTTTATCATCTATGTTAATAAGACTATCAGCTCTCAGCTCTCTTGTAAAGTTTGCAAAGTTCATTATTTGTATTTTGTAGTTAACCTGCTACTTGCAGCTGAGTCACTGCCTAATGGATCCATGGAGTACTGTGAGGAACGCAGGAGGAGGATGATTCAGGCTTTAGGAAGTAGCTCTAATCAGCAGGCCACTATCAGCGTAATAAACTTCTGCTGTGTTACATTGTTACAGTGTGAAGGCAAAACGGTGAATGACTTCAGCTTAAATGTGATTATAGCTTTAAGAAAAAGACACATTTTTGAAGTTTATGCTACATGAAGACATGAAGCCAGAGCCAAATACCATCTCAGTAAAAAGCTGAATTGAAAGTCTAAAAAGAGTCCTCTTGATAACTTCCTAAGTGCATCTTTTTAGTTTTTTGGCCTGTGTGGTTTGTGTACTTAACTGCCCCTTAAAAACAAAAAAGACTCTTTGATTTGTGGTTCAGCACAAGAAGAACTGTGAGCGATGAGTGCTTTGACAGGAGTTGAATCGATAGGTGATAAATGAGTGAGTCAGAAGATGGAAGCCTTATTTGCGGGTTAGGTCACGATTAAGACGATGGATTATTCTGATCTTTGACCCCACAGGAACTAACCCAACACCCAGAGGCTGCTGCCTTTTTTGTTTTTTCTGGTCTTGAAATAAAACAATGCCTTTTCCTTCCTGTCCAGGTGATGAAGACGTATCACATGTACCACTCGGAGAGCATCAGCGCTGAGAGCAAGCTGAAGGAGGCTGAGAAGCAAGAAGAAAAGCAGATTGGCAGGGCTGATCCTGTCTTCAGCATTCGAATGGAGGAAAAATACCAGAGGCGCAGCTCTGTGAAGAAAATTGAGAAGATGAAAGAGAAGGTAAGATGCCAGGTGTTAAAGGCAGCAAAAGCCAGTAGTTGCACCATAAAAGACAAAAAAATTAACTTCAGTATTGAAAAAGAAACTGCAGTTAAGGAAAAGACTCACCCAGGCTTTGTTTTCTTAGAACAGGCCTGTTGTCTGTTAAATCTCTGTGGCAAATGATTAAAGTCCAGGCAACAGATTTTTTTATAACACAAGTTTTCCAGGAATGCTTTTGGGAAGTCTTAAAATATGGGTGATCTGGAGTGTGTGAATCAGAGCCTAGTGCAGTGGTCAGCGCGTGTTGACTAACAGCCTCATGCTTGTCTGCTGAAGAGGAAGTGCAAGTTAAAAACCTCTGTCTCACACTGAGGTGTCCAAGTTGAAACCAAGGCCACAGCCTGGTTTTAGTTCATTTTTTTGTTTTTTTTCCGTACTTGGTCCTTTTCATGCCAGACTGTAACTTATTTCTCCTCTAACGTTGCCTAAAATGTTTTGTTTTGACAGTAATCTAGTCCCAGCACTGTGACTCGCTGTGCGTGCGGAGACATGAAAGCATAATCACTTGTCAAAAGGCAAATCTTCACTCATTAAATTCACCCCGTCTCGCTCGCTCTGTTGTCTGTTTCTCATTCTTGCTTCTAATTCTCTCATCAGCGTCAAGCCAAGTACTCCGAGAACAAGCTGAAGTCGATCAAAGCGCGGAACGAGTACCTGCTGACGCTGGAAGCGACAAACTCATCCGTTTACAAATACTACATCCACGACTTGTCGGACTTAATTGATGTAAGTATGAAACCACGGGATTTTGGCAGTCGTGTTGTGAGCCAGCTTCTTCTTCTTCTTCTGCACACTTTTTTTGCCTCAAGTGAGACTGAGGAGAATATTAATAATCAGAACACACGCGTTTTAAGTGGTGGTCTTTTGTTTTTTTTACTTTCCAATGCAGATTTTGGGAGATGGATACTGGTTGGTACATGTAGTAGTAATAATAATAATAATGTATTTTCCCAGAATAATTTTATATGGAAAATTTGGCAATTAAATGTCTATACACAATTAATCAAAAGCATTGTTGCACAACAATAGAAGAGTGCCTGCACTGCAGATGTCTCTGCATTCGTTTTTGGCCTCTTGAAATTTTCTTTGACTGATACAGATTAAACTGTGGTATTTAACATATTGATTTATTGTCCAAACAATCAATGTACGCATCAGTACTTTTATTTGTCCTGATAAACAATGTCAAAAATACCCAGCAAATCAGTAGTGTTGTTGTTAAGTTGATAATAATTGTGCGCCACCACACTAACGGTGCGGATAGGTTACTTGATGATACCAGGCTGCTATAGGACAGTTAGATTATGGAGAAGATTACCCAACCTTAATCACTACTTCACCCCTTTTTATAGACATTGACCCCCCCACCCCCACCCCCGGTTAAGATTTTCTCATATTTGTTTGAGCTTCTTATGCAAAAGACCAATTACTGCTCAGGGCTTTTTCTCTGACCTTCTGAAGAAAGACTGATGACTTTAGCAGCTGTGCTTAATATAAGAGTTCTGGACACTAGACTGTGGGATGGAAATTATAGTGCAGGACCAAATTAAAGCAGCTTTATTAACTTTGGTGATGAAAGCTATTCTTTCCTCCTACCATACTCTGTCATTATTGAAATCCTCTGTTTAATATTTAGTTATACATTATGTAACAGCTATTTTTCACATGTTTCAGATTGGTTGAATAAAAAGGGGGCGTGACCCTGAACTGGCTTCTTTTTTATATTAAAGATGATTGTTACGTAATCTGATCATGTTGTTTTTCTTTGTTTTGCTTTATGCAATACAGATATATATGACTTATTCACAGTTTCATTACCTGAGTCATTTCTTTTTCTTTTTCTTTTTTTTTTTGAAAGAGAGAGATAAACTTACTGCACCACTTTCTGTCGCGTTTCTAAGGAAACTGGAGACGGCTGGGATTTTGGCAAGTGTTTGGGATTTTATATTCCAGACAGGACTGAAGGAGAGAAGAGAGGGAGAGAGAAATGCAACCTCTATTCAGCGGCATGCTGTGCGCTGAAATTACCCCTCTCCCTGCTTTGCTCAGAAGTCTTCACGTCTCACCAGGGCGTGTGTGTGTGTGTGTGTGTGTGCGTGTGTGTGTGTGTGAGTGTGTGAGAGATGCTCTCTGCGTGAGCTTTGTGTGCAGGCTCACAAGCATTTGTTTATTGATGAAGAGACTTTTTATAGTGAAAAACAAAGTGTACAAGCAGGCTGGTTGTAGCATCGTGTTTGACAGTTGTTCAGGCCATTTTGTGTTTCTCTGTGTGGAGCTCTAGGTGGGTGCTGTTGTTAGCAGTGACCTTGGCAAATCAGATCCCGGAGGTACGGCTCGAGTCGTGCAACACAGAGGCAATACTTTTGGCTCAGAAAGTGATGTCATTTAGTCTCTTTTTTTAACCATAAAATGTAGCCAGCTATTGCTCATTTATATTTCTGTGTAAATTTGAGAGTTGCTCTTCACTTTTAACAAGAAGAATTTAAAACATTTTTTATTGCAACCATGGTTTATAATTTACAGCATCTAAATAAAAATAAGCACAGCAAAATAATTAGTAACACAAAGTCACTCTTTGTCTGGTATTACACACCAGGTCTGTGCAAATGAACTCCTTTCTCTTCTTGTCATTGGTTTGCTATTGCTCCTATCGCTGAGGGTGGCTTTTTCACTGTCACCGAGTGCTCCTTTGCATCACGGTCTGGATTTACAGAAACCACTTTGAAATGCATTTGTCACACTTGGAATCAACTGCAGGTTTCTTTATCTGCTTAACCTGTGAAGAAATAACCAACGTGGCTAAGTAACAATAGTCTGTGGCTGAATTATTCAGTTACTTTTTTGCCAAAGGTTGAGTGTAAAGTTGATGAATAATATTAACTGAATGATTTTGTTTAACCCTCTTAAATTAAAGCTGAAAGTCTAAGCTCCATAATAATCAACCATAATTGATCAAATCAATTTTCTAATCTGCCTTTTTTTCTTTTTTTTCCATCCAGTGCTGTGATTTGGGTTACCATGCCAGTCTGAATCGTGCCCTCCGTACTTACCTGTCTGCCGAATATAACTTGGAGACGTCACGCCACGAGGGTCTTGACATCATCGAAAATGCAGTGGACAGTTTAGATCCACGAAGTGACCGACAGAGGTTCATGGAGATGTACCCTACGGCCTTCTGTCCTCCAGCAAAATTTGAGTTCCAGCCTCACATGGGAGACGAAGTATGTGGTGCAGCTGGATTATATCTAATAAGTGGTGCAAATATACTGAATACCTTTGAGCTTAATTTTGAAAAATGAAAATATCTCAGCCTTAACAAGGTCAGATATTCAGTGGCTTGAGCTTTTTATTGCATATGGGCTGCTGGATCAGGTTTTATGGGGTAGTGAAATTAACAAATCATGTGTTATTACATCCCCTGAAGTCATCAAGCTCAACATGTGTTAGGGATTTTACTGTTTGGCTGGCACTCTGCTGATAGCGTGTCCGTTTACTAGCTGTTTTTGCATCGGTGTCTGCATTCATTTGGGAGACGTCACTGTGGTTTGCCTTGCAATTGGAAAAAGAATTTGGATGCCTACATCCTGTTTAAATTTAGAGCTTACGTGACCTTGTTCCTCTGATAGCTTGAAATTTCAGGTACATGGTCTGTGATGCTGTGATTTGTCTATATTTCCAGGTATGTCAGATCTCAGTGCAGCCACCAGTGAATGGGGAGCTTATACTGAGGTTCCAGCAGCTGCAGTCTCGTATCGCTACTCTGAAGATTGAAAATGAAGAGGTAAAATGGGGGCAAGAAAAATGGAAATCGCAATCCGGGTGTTTGTGTTGCAGGGGGTTTAGTTGCGTCAAACGTGTCTCAGTTTTGTTGTCTGCCTGAGATTTGGCAGCTTTGTTATGTGTTTATTTGTTGGATGCACGGTGCTGACAGTGAATTAAAGATGCTCAACAAAGTTAACTTCAGCCAGAAGTCATCCAAGGTGAGATGGAAAATAGTTATAGATGAGACACAAGCTTACAAACTGTGTTTTTTCTTCTTGCTCATGCCCCGAAGGTAGCCTCTGAAAGCCTCTCTGTGAAGCCTGTCGTTTTGCTGCATTGACATTGTGGGTGCTTCTTTGCTTCTCAGGCTCTTTTGTTTTAATGCATCTGCAGCATGCCTGAGTAAATTTACATTTTGTTTTCTTGAAAATGGAGAAGAAAGGCTTTTTGTTGGTTCAGAGTGCAGTCACCTCCATCGGGCTGTTACTTTGTATCACGTCTGACCTGCTTCTCCTTTCTGCTTCTCTCCCTCCACATCGCTGCACTTTCTTCTTTTATCCTCTTACAAAGACACAGGAGCAGGCCTCACAACTTCATCTGCATTCATCATCATTTTATATTCCCTTTGATCAGATGGTCAAATCTTTAGTTAAACAGACGTCTAAACTATACGTCTACAGGAATGAACTATGAGTGCAGAATAACAGTATGTGCGGCTTTTTTGAATATGCAAAATACATTCAGTAACTTTAATAATTGAATTTATCAAGCTTTATGACAGACTGTGTGTATGTGTATATACACATACACCCCACGTCATTAGAAGAAAATATCAGTCTGTCAGTGGTGAAAATGATCCTCAGTCACAGCTTATTTACTGAGACTCAGATTGTGGCGTTTCATGGAGTATAACCAGACGAGTCAGAGTCCTGTTGGCGTCACCACAGTTTGTCTGCAGTACGTATAGTGTTTAATCAACTGTGCATATACTTGTGACTTTGTGTGTGGTTGAAAAGCCCCGGTTGCTTCATGCCCTTGTCCTCCTGCCTCGCTGAAGCGGATGTCCTGGTGGGTCAAAATTGGAGGGCGCCGCTGCCTCATGTTAGGATCACCAGATGGTCTCTCTTCCTGGGCATGACGTGCCAGATACATCCTTGGAAAATGAACTTTCTAAGCACTGTGGTGACCTAAAAGCTGGACTGTCAAACGTACAAGGGAGAAGGAGCGTCTGTCTTTATCTGGACAGGAAAAACTACAGGGCAGTGCTTCATAGAGAAGTGCAGCTGCTTCCTCAAACCTCTTTGGCTCCCGTGAAGTTGGTGAAAGAAAACATTGCTGAATAATTTACTCTGCATTGGCGCTGGATAGGGTGCAACACAGGGAGAAGGACGCTGGATTTCACTTTTATTTAGGCGTAGGGCTTAGCATAATCCTGCTGGATTTCTTTCATCAAAAAACTCATTTCTCTAAGGACATAATTTCATTTCTCCTCATCAGTCAGTCGGTGTGATTTGTCTTTTTGCAGACTTAATAATCTGCCCATTTAGATCTCATTTGCCTCTGCATGACCCAGTGCTCACACAGACTAATTTTCCTCCTCTGATTTCTGCCGTCTTCTCCTGCAAATACACAAGCACACTTAATGGTTATTCTCAAGATGTTTCACACTAAACCCTGGCAATCTAATAGCATCATCTTTGCAGGGAGTGTTTGTTTTTCCTCCAGATAAATATCAAGGAAGCACATCAAAGCCTGTGTGTGTGCTCATAGCGGAAGATCAGCGAATTACCCACTTACTGTACTGCCGGGTCTGTTGAAAGCTGTGGACTGCAGTCTGACTTCTGATGACGGATGTAGGATTAACTAGGAGTGGTGTGCTTCCCTGCAGAATAAACCTTTATTCCACTTGCGACTGGAATTATTTTTTGCTTTTAACAGTGCTGAAGTTCAGTTTAGATAATGATGGCTACTTGCTTACTTTTGAAACGTCTATATCAAAGTATAGAGACACCGGATTTATGGTTTATAATTTACGGATTAACACGCATATCCACCGAGTCTCTCTAAGAGCTCTGCTGTAACTGAGCCCTGCACCGAACACTGGTAACTATCCGTCTGCTGAATAATGGATAAACTCAACAACTTTTTCACTAGGAGCATTTCTATCACACATGCATGGCTCTTGTCTTCATGATGACAGCTGGGCCTCTCGCCTCCATGGTGCCACTCTGAATGAGGCTGCCAGGAACACAGGGAGAGGAACTCAAACGCACTCAGAGTCTAACCAACGGCTACATGTTAGAAGTTACCTGTCATTGTGTAAATTTGCCTTTTTAGTCATTTGAAAGTTTCACTTTACTGAATCTAGCATTTCATGTTCCGTGCGTGTCTGCGCGTTTCCTTTCCTTCATGAAAGGTGGGATAACTACATCCATTCTGTGTGCACGAGCATGTGTGTCAGCGGCGTAATTCATCACAGCAACACATGAAAGCTGAAAAGTCTTCTTTGGTTTTCAGGGCGACTCTTTTTTTTCTTCTTCTTTGAAGGTGAAATGAGTCACGGGTCAGGCAGCTTAAAAGAAACAAGCCACAATCCACAGTTGTCTCAGTGTGTATAATTGTAACACGAGGAATTCGCCTTGTTCTTTCATTACCTCTGAGGTTGCGCTCACTAAATAACTGACAAATGGGGTCACTACCTTTTGAGGCGGGGTCATTCTGATCATTAAGGATAATCAAGAGGAATTCCAGCTGCGTTACATTCAGGGTCCCATTGACCTGTGCGTTCCCCACCTTTTTAAAATCTCAGTAATTGAACTGACATGGTGAGTGTCTCCATGAAATGCTGCAGTTTTGCTTAATTTTTCCAGGGAAGTGCTTGTTGGTGGGTTTTTGTGTTGTTGTTGTTGTTGTTTGGGGGGTTTTGTGGCTTTTCCACATCAGTGATTCATGTTCACACTTAACACACTTCAGTTTAGTCTCTTATGCCTCCCTGTCTGCCTCCTTTACTTTCTCTGTTTAGATTTGCTCTGTTTGTATTGCCATTGGTCCATACTCTGCAAGTGCCTTGATCCTTTATATACATATTTACATTTGGGATGACTCTGAAGGCTTAAACGTGCCAAAGTGTGCACACACACATCAGTTTTTCCCCCTGGATGTGTGTGTGTGCGTCTTTAACTTTTATCTACTCTCTCATTTGAATGTCACATGTTGTGCCATCTTATGTCATAATATTATGGACACAGTTATGCCCTGCAGCTCTTGCAGCAGTGGTCGAACATCTTTCACACTAAGTGGTGGGGCATGCTTGGCCAAGTCCTGGTGTTTATAAGCTCTGAGAGAAGAACTGTTGACAGGAAGACGTGGTTATGAAAATGGATCTTAAAAGCCTACAGCTCAATCTGGCATTTCCATCTGACACTGTTCACCTCTGCACCCCGTGAGTGTGAACACAATGATAAATGAGTCACTTTGAACCGTCGGGAAATTCTTTTATTTTAGGGAACATTCACCTCGTCAGAAACCACCTGAATTTTAAAGTGTGTCTTGGGATAGAGAGTGGTTTTCAGGGAGTGGAGTGAGTTTCTGTGTATACTGAGATGGTAACATAGTGATATTGAAGAGATGACATCAGCTTTTTCCCACCTTCTCTTCTTTTCACAGATCAAAAAGACATCAGAGGCAACCCTGACCACCATCCAGGACATGGTGACCATTGAAGACTACGATGTGTCTGAGTGCTTCCACCACAGCCGGTCCACCGAATCAGTCAAGTCCACAGTGTCGGAGACGTACCTCAGCAAGCCCAGCATCGCCAAGAGGAGAGCCAACCAGCAAGAGACGGAGCAGTTCTACTTCATGGTGAGTGCAGAGATGATGTCTGCTGCAAGTTCGCGAAAGTAATGACTTTAAAATGTATTTTTAATGTAGAAAACAGAAATAAATATCAAATCCATGCTGTCTGTAATGCAGCTTTACAACAGATTTATTCCTGTGTGATCATAAACCACAGAATCTATATAATAAATCTTAGAACATGTAGTCAAAGCTTTTATCTATATATGAATATACTTGATATTTGGGTTGTAGGTGATGTTTAACTTATGCACATCATTCCTATGAAATCTTTGATCAGCTGGCAGAGGAGTAACTGCCCCAGAATATCTCCAGCTGCCAGCTGCAATCTTGTTTCAATCCAGGGATGGACATGCTCTGATAAGGGCTTCTAAAAGGGGCGCTTAGCACGTCCTTTTGCCCTTGGCTGCTTCATCACAGACTGCCGTCTTAAGAGTGGGTGCTCCTGCCGGTGCTCAGGGCTGCTGGGTAATTACTCTAAATTCTCCACAGAAATTCCGTGAGTTTTTGGAAGGCAGCAATCTCATCTCCAAACTGCAGGCCAAGCACGACTTGCTGAAGAGGGCACTTGGTGAAGGTACATTCAGGACCCTGTATTTACCCTTAGACTCTACACTGTATTGTACTTGTGCTTAATTCATACCTTAAAATGGGAAATGTTCTACCAGCCAAAATGACTTATTAACCCCAATCAATATCCAAACATCTAGTGTAACAAATAATTGTGTACTTTACTGAATTCTATTATATTTGGCAGTCCATCTTGAGCAAATTCAGTCTATTCTGTGGCAAACTTCCTGTTGTTTGTTTGCTTTTGTCACCAGTCAAAGCTCTTAGATTGTAATCTGGTTTTAAACCAGGCAAGTCAGAGCCGAGGGGCAATTATGAACTTGTATTATCCATCTTAGTGATTGATTTGCTTGAAACCTAATGGCCTGCCATGTATAAGAACAGGCCCCCCTTGTTCTACACTGGTAGGATCTCCTAAAGGGCTCAGCTTGTATTTGTCAGTTCATTGTTCTAACAGGCAGTCCCGGTGGTCTCCTTCAAATTCGACGCTGAATGATTAATGGAGCCTTAAGTTAAGAGGAAGAAAAAACCCTCCTGTTTCTCCCACATGCTATTTAGTCATTTTGGTGTCTGCATGAAGTACAGTTTGAGTCACCCAAAAAATTTGAGCGTCTTCCTGTTATGCGAAACCATTTGGTAGTTATTTTTGCTTCATCTTCTTTTGCTTGTTTTAAACTTAGCTCTGTGCATTGTGTGCGTGTGCATGCGCCCATAACTTTTAAAACTGCATCTGTGTCCTGTTAGATGTTTGAACTACATTTTGATGTAACCGTCTCGGCACAGGTTATAATATTATGTGGAAAAACAGTGTGTATGGGTTTCTTTTGGATTGCTCAAAAGGCCAGTGGTTGTGAGCAGATGGCAAATGCTTTGTTAGCCATATGCACAATTCCCTGCAGGGACTGCAGTGATGAGTCTTGGCATGTCCACCCAACTAACTTCTTGTCACACCTTGTCTCTTTTCTCATATCTCAGGCCACCGAGCTGAATACATGACCACAAGGTAAAGTAGACACATCAGCACCTGTGCATATTCACTTCCCTTTCAACAGCGACTGAAACTTCAGGACAGTTTTTCTTTTCACTACTTCTGTAGTTACATAACTTAGCTAGTTATACTAGTTTTATATATTATGATATTTCTGTCAGTAAGTTCTAGGACCTCTCTTCCTTTGATGCACATGGGTGGACACCATATACAGGGAGACCAGCAGAAATCAGTGACAGCTGATGGCGTTGATGAAGTCGGACACACAACAAAATGAAAGGCTGAGATAGAGACAGGTTGCAAAGGGTTTTGCAGTAGTAGACATAGGCCGGTTAAAGCAATTTAAAGAGAGTCGCTATCGACTGACGTTGGCTGGCTGTTATCAGCAGATAATATGTTTAATTTGATGAAAGGAACCATATTTGGTGGCTAGTAACTCAACAAGGAATAGAAGTTTAATTTGAACTTGCCTCTTCGAGGAGGGAAATTTACTCTAAGTCCTCCAGATCTCAAGAACAGAATTATAACATGCACACTAACTAAAAGGGACTGTCACCTGCAGGCTCTGTCACGAGGTGGATGCTGACACATACAAAGCTCCCAGTGGGTCTGGCATTTCTCTGGCCTGTTGTATCTGGTGGAGGATTAAAAAAAAGGCTATAAAGAAAATGTTATTTCATGGGTTTCAGCTGTGTTTGAAAAAGTGCCCTTATTCATCCATCCAGCCATCACCTGGAGTTGAAAGGTTTTGAAGATTAGTCATCCTCCTCTTCAGTTCAGGTTTTGAAAGGACATAAATGTGCAAAGAGGGAAACCACAAAATGCATTGTTTGCCTTTTCTGATTCATTCTTTGTGTTCTAGACATCCCAATGGGCCGTACAGAACCCTCACTGGCACCCGGCGGGCTAGACCCCGCTCTGTTTTTAATGTTAGGTTATTTAATGGCAATTTGGAGTCATTTATTAAGGTACTGATTGCCAGTCTCCCGCTTGACTGTTCACCTTCTCCTATCCGTTTTCTATTTCCCTCTGGCTTTCTGGTCATTTTGGTGGGTTCCCCCGTAAGCGTCTTAGCTTTGATCATCATTTATCAACAACAAAACATGAACATTTGTGCTAAGATGGATTCTGGAAACCTTCCTCATGAGTCAGCGAGCTCTGGCGGTCTGTTTCTCAGATGTGTGGGGTGGTGGCATTGATAGATTTGGAGGGCAGCAGGAGGAAGGGAACAGCAGTTGGAAGGATAAATGTTTGTCTCCATCAGCTCCCCTGACTCACTGCTGACCTGGCATCACTGAGCTGCTCTGGCGGGAGATATTCTCTCCTCCGCTTCCAGAGTAAGAGCAGAGGCCAGTGAAAACAGCAGGATAGATGGCAGTCGGGGAGCGGATGCCAAACTGATAAGGTGTGCTGCCCCCCTCCTCCGGTCTCTTCACTGCCTCTCGCCGGTGGCCGTGTCGAGTCCTGCCTGATCCTGTCCAGTTCCTGCTGTTTTGTTATGGGTTTGATGCCAGCACAGAGTGGAATGTGACGCTCTCTTAGTAAAAGCTTTGGTGGGAAGCTGCTGAGGTGCTAATCTGGATCTTGCTTTTTTCCCCTTTTTCCATCTCTGATCATCTCCGACTCTTGCAACATTTCTCTTTAGCCGTGGACGACGGAACTCACACACTCGACATCAGGTAGAAACTCTGAGGCATGTTGGGGGGCTCGTGCTGCGAACCTTTTCTCATTTCCTGTATCTATTCTGTACTAACAAATTATTTACCTGCCACTTAGACAGACTGAGTTGAAGGTTACAGCTGTAGTTTCAGTTGTCTGTGCAAATTTCTATTCCTTATAGATCAAAATCAGTCTCTCATATCCAAAGAGATCGCATTACATAATCTAGCAGCACCCCGGCTTCTGCCTCAACCCTCACTGCTGCACTCCAGCCATAGCTAGTCGATTTTAGTATGGCTGTTGCGTTTGGGCTCATTGTATACCCCTGAGGGCTGTAAACAGATCCACTGTATCATTAAAAGCATGTACCGAGTCCCCGTCCAGCAGTGATTTACAAGAGGAGCCAGCACACAGGCAGAAGGAGAGTTGAGTGCACATCCAAGTGCTCTTATCTGGCCATTTTAGGCCCGAACTTCATATGGAGTCTGTGCCCTTTTGGATAAGCTCTTGTTAATTTAAGCACAGCTCTGGATTGTTTGCATAAAAAAAGACATAAGGCATGTTTAAGCACATTTCAATAGGCCTCCGGTGTTGCTATTCCAGTTGGTTAGTGATTTTTGTATACTTAGTGATAATCCACGACATCCATGAAACTGAGCAAAGGAATAGCTGTGAGGTCAAGTCAGTCTGTCTTAATAAGATCACACTTTGTATTTAAACTTACCAGCTTCACTTTCACTGGGTGTGCATGATTATATTCTTTAAACGGCTCCTATTGGGCCGCAATCAATACATTGAACCGGTCAGCAGTCTGCATGCACCAGATATGCATTAAGAAAACACAAAAGTGAGACGCGTGTTTTAATTGATCAGATTTTGGATAAATTACCTCCTCAAAATGTGATATAATCCTGATTATTACATATTTTTTGCACAATTTTGATTTTATGTGTTAATGAAGAAAAACAAGGACATTATACACCAGTGATTTTTTTTTTTTTTTGTAGTATTGGTTAGGCTCTTATACACGTAACAAAATGACGAATTACTCATCTGACTTTTCTTCAAAGGACTCTGGACAAGCTATTCCTCGTGTGGTTGAGAGTTGTATTCGCTACATAAATTTGTATGGTGAGTAGCATACTGTCAGCCCTTACAGTGTTACAGTAGTTGCTGTATTTATACCTTCTTTGAGGTCTTCTTATAACCCAACCAACTTTATCTAGTGTGGGACAAAGTAACACTTTCACAGATGCAGATGTTGAAGTTTCAGTTTATTCCGTGGAAATGTGCAAATTCCGCCCTGTTTATCTTTATGCGGTCTCTTCTACTGAAATTCCCATACATACATTCTCCCATACAGTGAGAAACCTGTCACTGTATGACTGTTGAGTTTAAATATCACTGACTAAAGCAGATTTATAATTCTAAGCATTGAAAGGTGTGACTGTAGAGAACATCCTCTGCATCTTGTCTGGCAACCAACTGATGACACTCAGAGATAAATCTAAAAAAATATTGCAGGCTAGTTACAGTAACTTAATCTTGCTTAGTAAAGGGCATGTTTTTGATTACTAGTAATGATATGAATAATGAGTAATTTTGATCTTCCTTAGGATGTGTCATTTTGGGCAATTTGTTTTCTCATCTGTATGACCACAGGTAGATTAAAGCTCATGAGTTGGTCTTCTGCTTTTCTTTGCTTCCTCATCCTTTCTTTGTTTTGTTTTTTCCCTGTGCAGGCCTCCAGCACCAAGGAATATTTCGTGTACCTGGATCCCAGCTGGAAGTCAACGACATCAAGAACTCATTTGAGAGAGGTACCGGGGTTCTGTTTTCACTATAAAAGATGCTTGTCAACAGCTTGATCTCTACTATATTTGTTTCCAATTGTATTTTTAATTAGGTATATGTCTAAAATGATGCAATAAAATAAATCCAACTTGACCTGCTCGCTTCTCTTTGTTTTAGGAAATGACCCTCTGGCAGACGATGAGAATAATCATGACATCAATTCGGTGGCTGGCGTTCTCAAACTGTACTTCCGAGGTCTGGAGAACCCTCTTTTCCCCAAAGAGAGGTTCAATGAGCTGCTGTCCTGCATCAGTAAGAACATATTTTTGTGTATTATCAGTCAGTCGCTTTTTATGAGTGATTGATTGTTTGTTTTCTGTAACAAGTTTTATTTATTTACATACTTATTTTAAATACTTTGCGTTACAGTGAAGAGCATATTTGTCTAATTTAGATGGATTTAGATCCTGGTGATTTTATTGTCTTAAAGACCTAAAATAATTAGCTCTCATATCATCTTATATTATACACTGTAGCCTTGTTGGGGGGGGGGTTGTACATACTGTATCCGATAATGAAAGTTTGAACATTTGCACCTTGTAGTCTTGCTTGAAGTCTTTGTCATTCTGAAGTCTGAACTCGGACTTGCGTTTTGTGGGTCCTGCTCTGCTGTGTTGAGCTCTGAGCAGGAGCCGATCTGTTGTGAGCGGCACAAAGCTGACCATAGAGTTTTGGTGGAGCGTTGAATGTTCGCAGCCCTGGGCTGAATCTGAGTCCTCACAAGAATGGTCACATTGTGAATTTGTCTGAATCGTTCCACAGTTCAGTCAGCTCTTTGAATGACACTGCATTACATCACATCAGCTCTGTTAAAGAACAATTGAATATGCACAAAGTCACATGGACGTAGTGTGCGTCCCGATGCCTCGTGCGACTCTGCGGGAGTGATTGTGTGCCCCGTGTATTTGTGTGTGTTCTTTGTGTACTCGCAAGTGTGTGAAGTGTGTCCTCTTGAGTTTCTTGGGTCTACCGTCGTTTACACATTTGTGCTGGATGAGTGATGGGGATTCCCTGTTTACATCTCCCAGCTCTGCATGCCAGTGATTGCAGTGTGGGCTGAGCGCCCAGCAGGCTCCATATATAAACCTTATTCCCATATGGAGCAGCTCAGACCAGCTACGAGATCGTTTAACCGCTCTCAGTTGACTGTTTCATTTTCACCGCAGCGGTGCACTGCGGCTTGTGATATCTTTCACTTTGGAATTTGCGGTAAGAATGCTTCGTGAGGATGTGCTGCACACACGTGATGTATAAGTCTGCGTTCGAATAGATCTTTAAATAGCAGCTTCTGAAGTGCTTGAGAGCCTCACAGAATCCAAGTTAGGTATTCATGAAAAATGAAATACATCACAAGTATCCCAGAAGCCCAAATCCCAGATGGCACACAGTGGCTGGAGGGTGACATGGCTATTTTTAGCAGCCCAGCCAGCACAGCCCCAGCTTAGCTGGGTAAACCAGCCGGCTTCAGGTGCCACACTGAGACAAACATAATAGTAACGAAGGACAGAAAGGTCGACATTCTCCGGCTGCATCTTACTAAAGCACAATATTTTTTCTCTGTGAAAATGATAATAAAGCTGCTCTTTTTTTTCGTGATATTTCTGAAAAAGTAAACAAAATGTGCGCGTGACAGAGCGCCTATTTTCACTTCTTCTTCCTTTATGAGAGAATCAGGTGATAAACCAAAGTTGTGGTGAGGGTAATTACCAGAGTCAACATATCGCCTGTGTCCACGAGGACTTTATACAATTAAACGTCTGTGCCCGTTGAAATATTTAATGTTTCTACTAAGTATTTGGCCGAATTTATGTCTTTAGACTTGAGAGTATGTGGATATCGTCGATAGATTACACAAGTGTAAGCCCCAGACGTCTACTCCATGGACTGAACCAGAGAAAAACTTGTTATATATCGTTAGCTTCATAGCATAAGTGCCTAAGTCATTTTTTGGTCACATTGAGATTTTTGCCTAACTTTACTCCCCTACCACTGCTGCATCATCCTGTCCGTCTGCCTATGTCATCACAAAAAAATGACTTAGGCACTTATGCTATGAAGCTAACGATATGCTTTTATTTTTTTGGTTTATAAAATTTTTATTGCTAACAACATACTCTTTTATTTACCCTTTTATTTTTTTTATTTTTTTTAAAGGAATAGAAAACCTGTATGAGAGAGCGCTGTACATCCGTAAGATCCTCCTGACCATTCCCAGATCGGTCCTCATTGTGATGCGCTACCTCTTTGCCTTCCTCAACCAGTGAGTTTAACAAAAATAACATCCTAAGCATCATGATTGCCCTTGCTCAATGATTTGTCTGAAATACTTTATACTAAAATATTCCAACCTTTTACTCCTTTATATTTTGTTTCTTCACTCTCCATCTTACCTCCGTCCCTCCCTTCAGTCTGTCCCAGTACAGTGATGAGAACATGATGGACCCATACAACCTGGCCATATGTTTTGGCCCAACACTCATGCCCACACCAGACAGCCAGGACCAGGTCTCGTGCCAGGCCCACGTCAACGAGATCATCAAGACGATCATCATCCACCACGAGACCATCTTTCCTGATGTCAAAGAACTGGATGGGCCCATCTATGAGAAGTGCATGGCGGGCGGGGACTACTGGTAAGAAATAAGAACGTATGCCGACAGTGCTATACCTAAATCGGGTGAAGTGCCGCATTTACTGCACCCAAACATCCAGAGATGTTCACACTGGGGAGTGGATGTGAGCTATGACACATACCAGTTCAACACGTGCAGCTGAAGAACATGACGAGGTAGCTCATGTTTCAGGACTGTATTTAGATGAGAGACAGGCTGAAACGATCGTTTTAATTTCTACAATCATGACAGAAGGAAAAAGAGGTCACCTGGCAGGAAGGGGCTGATTAGTTGAAATGCAGAGCAAACTGCAGTCAAGCAAGACAAAAAGCAGCCTCACATCTGTATATAAGGTTATCGCTTGTTTCTTTCCGACTTTATCTACCTCTGTTTCTCCTCGTCTGTGCTGCCCCCACATCACCGCAGCCTGACAGCGATTTATCTCTGGCCAGAGTAAATCACCTGTCTCAGCGTGCCTGTGTCTCCCCGAGTGAGACATAACCCCTGGGATTTTCTTTTCCATTCGTTGCCTCCGCCTCTCCCTAAAGAGGAGGTTGCTACTGACATGTTAGCTTGGACGCAGACGTTCATTTCCTGGCCGGGGTAATCTGCGGTCATGTGTGGCGTTCCTGTCAGCTCTCACTCTTCATTTCCAGAAGATCATTTAGAGACTTCCTAACCACACAATGGGAAACTCTTGATAATGGCTGCTGGTTGAACATCCTCCATGTCTTATTAATTGTAAAAAACCTTCCTGCTTTTCATCTTGTCTTGAATGGCTTTTTATCATTAAAATTTTGTGTGTGTGTGTTGTTGAAATGTACCTTAGTCCTTGAACCCTGTTGTGGCTGTGACCCTGGTAATTTGGATGTTGTCCCCAACAGTGAGAGCCCCTATAGCGAGCATGGAGCTCTGGAGGAGGTAGACAATGAGGGAGGAACAGAGACGCACACCAGCGAGGATGGTGAGTGACTGCACAGCAGTAAATAGTCATACAAATGTTTAAACTTGCTCTTACATACCTTTGTGTCCTTCTAGAGTCCAATCAAATTGTGTTTTTAGGAGTTGCAATCACTAAATATAGAACTAAAACTAATTATTGTAACCATTGTCCATTTAACATATGCACGGTTAAATTTAAACCCCCCCAGTCTTTGGTGTGTGGGGGGTTAAACTTGTGTCTCTGCAGCTCGGGGTGGCTAATCCTGCCTTTCAGCCCGATAAATGCATTAACCTTGAAGAGCCAGGGAATCGGGCTCAGAGTGACAGACAGCCATTCATATTCTAATGGTTCTACTTTCCTTGGGGCTTTGGACGGCTCCACACCCCCTCATTTTACAAATTCCTTGGTGGTCTGCACCTTTTGGGCCTCCTGGGAATGGAAACTTGTTTCTTAAAGGTCCCAACCTTGGATTACATTTTTAACTCCCTTTGTGAAAAATCAGCGCAAAAGTAATTTATGGCAGATTTATGAAGCGTGTTTCAAAAGTGTCACATTTTATCTGTGGTTCAAAAATAATAAAGTCTACATTTAACTACATTTCCATATGTCCCAGAGAAATATATATAGAAATGAAGAAACGAAGAAAAAACACCGGGCTGTTGTTGACACTGGAGGATATTAAGTACTTCAGCCAGACGCTGTTGTGTGATCAGACATGTGGTCCTTTGTTTCCATGAAATGGATACCAGCTCATCACGTCCAAATCAAATATTTAGTGAGTTAGTTGAGACCAAAAGATTAGACGTGGTATGACTTTGCTGTTCAACTTACAGTAAAAAGCAGAAAAGGACAATAAAACTTTCAGCTCATTAAAAAGTGAGAGATAACTTTGACAGAAAACTGACCAGATGTAGACAGAACGGTGCAAGAAATACTTGAACTACTGTTGAACCTAATTTTATTGTCTAACCTTAGTAACACACTTTCCTAAACCTTCTCTGTTGAAAGCAGTCACCCAAATCCTTCCACGTTATCACCAAGCTACATGTTGACATCAGCCTCCACAGAGAGACTTTGAAAACCACAGTTGATCTCTTCTCCTGACATTAGCTTTTAATCACGGTTTCCAAATAAAGACCCTCATCTTACTGTTAAGTATAACCAAAGGAAATATCTGATTAGACGAGGAAACTTATTCCTACTGTAAAACACAGATGGCAGCTATCAACTTTGAGTAATTACGAGAAGATTGTGTTTTCCAGAAAGCCCTTGCTGCCATGGTTTTGTTCCAAAAGCTTCTCTAAGCAGGCTGGGAGGATGTCCTCACTGACTGAGTTCCTCCCTGTAGAGTCTTGAACTGTGGTCAAGTTATTGTCATCAGTTATTTTTAAATCCCTGTGACCTCAGTTGGATTTCAGACACAAAAACAGGGCTTGTTTCCTGTTTAGTTACTCTCGCTTGTTTTCTCCAGACTTACATAGTTATCATTTTTCTCTCCTTTCTTATCAAGGCTTCAAACGTGTTAACTTGTGTTGGCCTTTAAAGGAAGTGAATGCAAGTTAGGTGGCGAGAGGAGTGAAAGTCACCTCGTGTGCAAACACCGGTGGAGAAATATCTTTGACTCGTTGGAGCAGATGCGTTTCAAGCTGATTACATACAGAGTCTTAATGCAATATGCTGTCCTGATAACATTTGTGGAAAAAATGAAGTGTGTGGATAACTGACGATCAAGATCTTTTGTCATATTGTAGTTGTGACCATTCAGAAAATGTAGCCACAGTTTATGTATTTTGTGTATTTTTCAGAGGCAAACAGTCTTCTGAAAGACATAATGTCAGTCTTCACCAGGATTCCCCAGATGGGTATTTCATGAAAAGCTCCCCAAGATGTACCAGAACAGTTAGGTTCACCGACTCCTATGCTTACCTTTATTTTGAAATATACGATAGCAGCTTCTTGGTTTGGTCCAAAAAAGGGTGCGGTTGTCCACCTGTTTACCACTTTGGCCCTCACTGAAGTATCTCTTTTGCCTTGAGGTTTTGCACAGAGGTTGAATCCTATATTAGTCATCCCATTTCTTTCATGTCAACAAAAGGTCCAGATTTTTACTTATCCTGTTAGATTTGATGCACACATTCTTATTCCTTTTAATAAGACACTGGGTAGTCACTTTTATTTTAGCAGCACTGAGTTTTTATGCTCCCGATACATTTTGTTCATGATTAAAAAGCAGGCAGTACTGTGCAAAAGTCATGAGACACTCTTCATTTCATTCACGTTTTCCTGGAAAAATGACAAATAAATGTAACAGTTTATCGAAACGTCTACAAACATGAATGGAAATATTATATAAAATGAGTTATAACGAGCTTGAAGCTCAGTGTTTGGTATGAGGACTTTTATTCTTCAACAGAGCCTAAACTATTTTAGGCAAGCTTTCTTTTTTATTTAGTAGTCTTCAGGAATACTGCCTCTGATCCCACATTGCTTCATTATAGTTGAGATCTGGCCTCAGCTGAGGCCTTCAATGCCCGATGTTTCACTGTGTTTTTCTATCCAGGTATGCTTTTACTACATTGGCAGTGTGTTTGGTATCATTGCCATGCTGAGAAATGAAGTTTCTGCCAATTGAAAGCTTTCCACACAGTATTACACAGTGGAGCAAAATCGAATGGTTCTTTTCTGCGTTCATAATCCCAGGATTCCAGCCTCAAACCATGACAGAGCCATTTTTGTGATGGCTGGCTCACTGTTGTACCTCATTCCTGACCTCCTCTGGACATACTCGCTAGGGCTGTTCGATATAACGATATATATCGGATGACGATGTACAAACGTCTATCGTTTCATTTTACGCTATCGTTTGTTTCGTGGTGTCGCAAAATAAACTCTTTACGGCAATATTTTTCATGGTTTTGATGGTCACTGTAGTGGCTGTATTCATTTCTTAAAGTTCTCTCTTTCTCTTATATTTAATATAACCACACTACGGACGGACAAGGGCTTGTTTTTATGCGTTGTCGTTAGCAACAATGACGGTAACAGCATCGTGTGTCTGCTTGTTTATTTTCCACATAAACCTTTCACAATAAAGCTCAAGATCCTGTTGAGACTTTTCAAAATAAACTGAATCACGTAAAATAGTATACAGAGGATTTACGGATGAGAAGCAAAAAAGAGCCGCCAGGTGCTAAAAAATAAACCTTAGACTCAAACGTTAGAACAGGCTTTTCCCCGCAGCACGCCGTGTAATAAATACAAAGAAAACGGTGGCTGTTACAACTTATGTCTAAAAAATGTACCGTTTCATACATCGGTTAAAACACGACTCCAGCTGGAAACACTTCCCGCAAGTCGAGCTGCCCGAGATTCACAGAATTTACAGAAAATGTTACATTTTTGTGATTTATATCATTATCGGACGATAGATGTCTTAATTTTGGTCATATCGCACAGCCCTAATACAATCATTGGAACCAAACATCAAGGCTAGTTCTTGTCTAATTTGGCCTACCTCACCCTTTTCTCTCAGTTTTCCCTCCTTAAGATCGGCTTCTTTACAGCCATCCTTCCACTAACATCTTTTCTGATGAATTTTCAGAGAACAGTAGGAGGATTAACTGAAGGTGCAGTTCAGTTTCTTTAGGATGTGACTTTCAGATACTGTTCATCTACTGTAGCTGGTTTATTTGTAGGCCTGCCACTTCTGGTTTTAATCCACCAGTTTCCACCATGCTGAGATAATGCCAAGTTTCAGCTAACGGCTTCTTGGAACTTGCCTTGTTGATGCAAAAATAGTGTTCCGGGCCAGGGAGCGAATTGTGTTTTACTAGTAACTAGTAAAATTGGTTCTTTCCCAAGTTATCTGTTATGTGTAGACACAACACTGGTTCATCCCTGGAGAAACACTCAAGACCACTTTAAAAAGTGACAATAATGTGTTGCTCTCTGGAAGCAAAATATAAAGAAACAAGAGTTGAAGCCTTTTGTGCTGTATGTGTAAAAATAATCACATTTCCTTTTGATCTCTGCAACAGTTTGTGCTTTTTATTAACCTGCTAAGCAAAGACAGCTTTGAAATCAATCTTAAATTAAAGTTTTTCCCCTATAGGACACAGTTATTTGAAGCAGCAATAATGTTAACATATGGGAGGCACAAACTGGGCCTTGTGACATTTGACACTGTCCGACACACGTGACATTTGAGATGATGGTTGTCACGCGAGGAGCTTAACTGGTTTTAGAGTGGCAACATTAATGTTGTCTGCTGGTAAATTTCCCACAAGGTCAGAAATGAACTAAATGACTCATTGATTATGGCAGTTACAGGAATATACCAGGATGCCCTCGATGTCACGTGAACCTGCTCGCTGTATTGTAGATGTTAAAGGGGAATGTATTGTTATACTTTGCAGAGCGTAGTCAGTTTTCCTATTAGGAGCCATGTTTCTTTTCTTTTTTTCCCATGTTTGCCGCAGTGTCTGCTGTTTGTTTTGTAACAGCAAGAGCGTGCGATTATTAACATCATGATGATGATGTGCAGTGGGGGAAAAGAAGCCTCCTTTAGTGCCATTGATCCTAAAAACATATCAAACCAGGCTTCTGCTGCCCCATTTCTCTGTGGGAACACTGGTGTAAGCAACATCCACACCAACCGCGCTCCACTGGCGTGTGCAAGACATCTGACAGTTTCTATCTCTTGGATCACATGCCTCCAACTCTCATGGTTCAGCATTTCTTTAGCTCCAGTCTCAGTGTGGGAGGGTGCGTACATGTACGTGTGCAACCGAGTTCAGTTGGTTCTGAAAGATTTTCAGTTATAATTGCACAACATGACAAAGGGAATCCTGCCTGCTGCTTCCAGCTTCAGTCACGTCCCTGCAGCGCTCACACGCGTGTGCCTTGGATACACATTGACAGATTGCAGGATCAGCTTATTGACGTGACTGAAAGGGATGAAGAAAGTAGAGGAAGGAAGAGAATTCCCCTGCACCGACGACTGTGCCGTCTGCTTTATTAACAGCCTCGTCCACTGTAGTGCAGTCCGATTAATTCAAACTGTAAATTCCTGCTTGTCACATTTCATTGGAGCCACAGCAAAAACTGACAACCCAGTGAAGCAAAGACAGTAGCAAGTTAAAGGTGGGATGAAACTGAACGAGAATACATGAGATAAAATAGGACACTGGAAGAAATGCAGAGCCCACAAGTCTTTCCACAATCAAGCCTATATTTTCTTTAGCACACGGGATTCTCATCTTGTAATTAATCTCCCACTCCTGAGAAAGATGCAGTATATCACGATGAGTTGTCACAGCTGAGACAGGTTTCAGACATTTACTCTGTTGCCTTCCTACCAGCGTATATATAGAGCCTGTGTTACGTCTGTCCAGGGACCCCCTGTCTGACTTGAAGCGAGAAAGTGAGCTGGCAGGAAAGCAGAGGTAGGAGCGAGGGAGGAATAAAGAAGCTATTTTTAGCCTCGTGTTGCTGTAGTGCATACATATTGGCTTGGAGACTGTGCCTTTTTTTGAAAAGTAAAGTCAACTCTAGATGTTGTTCTCTTCAGATTGTATTCGGGGAACACAAGTAGTTAAATGTGTACAAGTAAATTAAAATAAACTGTAATAATAATTGTTCAGTCGACCACTGGCTGGTGTTTTACGCAGTAACTTTTCACGGTATGTTTCACATTCTGTTGTCAGTGATCCAGAGCTCTATTTGTACAATTATTGAGCAGTAATCACCCCAGTCTGATGATCCATGCCGTGACTCGCATGCCCCTGAGTCGCATAGATCTCCTCTCAAAAGCTTCTATACATGTCCTGCTAAAGCTCCTCAGGGCCCATAGTGGCTCTGGCCTGCTGTTGTAAAGCTGGGTTACTATTGACTGGAACTGAGGGCGGGGGAATCAGCTGGCTTAGCTTACTTGCACTCCATGTGCACTTGCATCAACTGCATATTCACGTGTACAAACATGTCGGTGTTAGACTCCCTTGAATTGTAGCCAGCCTGTATTTGTAAGTGCATTTGTTTCCAAAATTAGATTTTTATTTCCCAAGTCTACAGCACTTTAATCAGTCGTTAGAAATGTCTGCACATGAAATAACAACCATCTGTACTTGATGACTTTGCCATATCTGACATGTACTTAACCTGACTAATCCTTTCTCTTGACAGAGGGTGAGCCTATTGAAGCCATTGCCAAGTTTGACTACGTCGGGCGCTCTTCTCGAGAGTTGTCTTTCAAGAAGGGCGCCTCCCTGCTGCTGTATCAACGGGCATCTGAAGACTGGTGGGAGGGGAGGCACAATGGGATTGATGGCCTGGTGCCACACCAGTACATTGTAGTCCAAGACATGTGAGTGTCCTACAAATATAGAGCAATAAATAACTTCTGTATTGAGCACAAACAAAAGATGTGCATCATGCACAGTGAATACTGACTAGTCAGTTTACCTCTAGCTAACCTCAAACTGTAGGCAGTTGTAAAGGAATAATCAGATGTTCATAATATATGTTATGTACTTTCTTCCCAAGAGATGGATGGGAACATTCATACATCCATTTTCTTAACTGCTTATCCAGTTCAGGGGTGTGGGGGTTGGGCTAGAGCTTATCTGAGCTGAGGCTGGACAGGAAGATTTATACGGTTTCCTATCTGTACAGTAAATATGATGCCAGCATCTTTTGAACTAAACCTAAGATGAGGGAAAACATTTACTCGTTCCACAGCTGACAGAGTCCTCAAACCTTGAAAAATGCTCTAACAGAAGGTGATTATAAAGAACCACTGAAAGTAATACATTCATTTATAGATTGAATGTATATAAAAATGTAATTTTTATATATTTTTAATTATACAATTAAAATGGAATTCTTTAGTTGGAAGACGAACGAGTAGTTTCTGACCTCTCCTCGCTTAATTATTATACCAAAGGCTGCTTAACTAGTGCCGGATCCACTTAGAGTCTGAGAGCTAAAGTTCTTAGCAAAATGTCCCTGTGGGTTAAACAACACACTTGTCCTTGTTGACTTTGCTCCACAAAAAGGCTGCTAGGCCGTCAGGTTACTATAGGGTCGCGCACAGGGGACCTTCAGGCTCATTTGTCTTGTCCTCCACTGTCATCCCTGCTCAGCTGTGGAGCTTTCTGCACCTCCAGGGTCCTTAACCAAGCCTTCTGTCACCGTCTCGTGCTCTCAGCACTAACAAGCATGCACTCTGCCATAGCGACTGTTGGTGCCTAATGGACTGAAGTCACTGTCTCGTTAGGACTGGAACAGAATCACTCCAATCACTTAGTAGCTGGCTGACAAAACAGTCATTTGGAATGCCTTCACGCTCTTTCTGTTTTCCTCCTTCCCCTGCTGCTGTTGTCCCGTCAAAGGACCCCTATCAATAATTCACTAGGAGGGAGCACTGCTGATGGGGTGTCATCTTAGTTAATGAAAGAGCACAGAAATTTACAGCTGTACACGTTGTTCCCAAGGAAGTAACGTCCTGGTCTCTACTTAAAGTGAGCAGGCAGAGGAAAGTAAGAGCGCACAAGATTGCAATCTTCACTCGTCCTGTAAAAAAATAACATATACAGGGAGATGTTTCCTAAAGTACTTTGGCACAAGATGTCACCTGTCAACGTTTGACTGTGAAAATTCGTTTGTAATTTTTGTTGGTAGCTGCCTCTGCTTTGGAGAAGTGCTCGTCTGTGCTGTGACCCTGTGCGTTCATGTGGATTTGCTAAATAAGTGACTGTGTTTGATGATGCCATCAGAGGCAACAGTGCAGCTCAGTAGGTCTGATTACTGCCACCTGACAGGCACCAACTGTACCGAGTATCCAGTGACACAGCTCACTGAAACTCATGCAGCTGGTTTGTGTGTGAGTGTTTGAGTGTTTGTGCGTGTCGCCGACACAGCGCATCACCAGAATGCTGAGAGGTTCGGGACTATGACTCATCTGACTCCGTAGACCTTGTGGGGTGGGGGTGGGGGTGACACATGCTGACTCTCAGGAAACGGATGGAAAATACTGATACTGAAGAACTGAACAAATATAAAAGATTGACTGATTTGCTGATTTGTCCCTTTTTTTTTTTTTTACTGTGGGTTTGTCTATCACTTCTTGCTTTTTTCATGTCTCAATGTCACACTGTCTCTGTGTCCCAGAGATGACAACTTCTCAGACACTCTGAGTCAGAAGGCTGACAGCGAGGCCAGCAGTGGCCATGCTGGGGAGGATAAATGCTCAGGAAAAGACATCGGTTCACCCAATGACACCAGGATCTCTGAAGCCTTCATCACCAGGTGGGTATACTGCTGTAAAACAGTGCTAGCAATGTTGATGCTTTTTTGTTTGTTTGTTTGTTTGTTTGTTTTTACACAATTTCTGTCAAATACCTTAATTAGGGACCACAGAGATTTTGCAGTTCTGAATACTCTGTATTTTTAATTTAGATCATTCCCACATTTTTAAAGAGGGATGTCAAAATTTGTTTGACATCCACATCCAGCCCACTTTGGTCTTATGTGGGATGCAAAATTAATAGTTATTTCAAGAGAAAGGAATCTGTCAGCACAACTCTTTTAGGGCTGCCACGATTAGTCGACTAGTCACGATTAGTCGACTATCAGAATCGTGACGACTAATTTAATAGTCGACGCATCGTTTGAAGCTTTG